TGGAGACGAGATACGGTCGCACCGAAGGTAGAGCGTCTCCCAGGGGCAGCGTATATCGTAACAGAAGTGTGAGGTGGTNAGTTGTCGAACACACTGAAGTCAGTCTGAGAGACCATCACATTCAGCTTCTTTAGGTTCTCTTGGTTACATTGACGGTTTCTTCTTTTTATGTCTCGGCTTTTTGTGAACAAACTGTGATTGGCCTTGCTGTATACCTTTGGGGACACTTTAATAAGGGCATGGTCTGAGGACCCAAGAGGGGAGCGCGAAGATGCGAAGAAAATGCTGGTATTATTTACAAGACACTTGTCCAAATGAGCATTCAATCTTGTTGGGAAACTCACTATGTTTGTCAACCCCAGAACAGACAAGAATGAATGAATGATGATTGAAATCACCACAGACGATACATAACGTGAAATCCAGATAACTCATTAAAGCTATGGAGATAATATCTGAAAAATGCAGAAGTTCCTCTGAGGGACAAGAAGGAGAAATGTAAATGTTAGCTAAGACAATCGACCATGTAGATGTCAACAAATGACATGGAAATGAGCCATGATCAAATGCAGAGAACGACTAGGCAAAGTAGGGGTCTCTCATCTTACAGGTTGAGATCCGAAGTACTCTGTAACTTGTTGGTTGGGGACCTTGCATGATATGGCACCTAACCAGCAGCAGTGGCTTTCTTGTTGTCTTTTCATATCAGGTCAGAATGCTTGAAACGGTATGTGTGCACAGTTCGATTGTGTACTCTGTGTGTAAACCATAGAGGTTCCTTTTCTCTCCCCACCCTGTCTCAAAATAGATCCAATCCCTGTCCACCTTACATATTACTACTCACTGTGTATGCATTACGATCTTGGCAACGATCACTGTATTCCGCTGTACGACGAAGTGCCACCAACGCCCATATACTCGTACGCACTGGCTAAGGCAAGACACACTCCTGTTTTAAGTATGATAAGGCGACAGAGATATTCCTCTATGGATAATAAAATCTTTATTTTCGCCTTCCTCTTGGCACTGAAGGTGGATCACTACAAAATAGGTGTTGGTATTTGGCGGTTTATCCACCCGGCAATTGTAAATCTCAACTTCTCTAATTGTATTGTTCATTTGTGGAGTGAGAGAAGACCGACAACGTAGCCCTGAGTGGTAAACCACATAAGGTCTCAATAGGTTGAGCGTTATTGTGAGCTGGGCAACAGCATAGCTCGTTTCTCACATACCAATCGCTTGACAAGCAACTTGATGCTCTTTTGCATTCATTCCTGTCCGAAAAGATTCAGATATTGCATCTCTTCTCCGCATAGGTGAATAGTTTTCAATTACTTGATTATAACTGACAAACGTGAATAAGTGTTATCCAACCGCCGACCACGCAGCTTTTATCGTCTTATTAGATCTGGTTGCACTTTGGAAACTTTTAACTCAAATCTGGGTGATTAGCTAGACGTGTGTGATTTTTGCTACCTCGGGGAGGAAAGTTTGATTTTCTTTTTAGAAAGTGTATTTGCTTCATCAGGTGACGTTAATTTGTTCTCTTGTACTACAGTGCTATTGTCATTGTTATTATTATCCTTGTAAATGCTCTTATTACTCAACAGCATTGCTCTGCGTGTTGGACGTTTTTCATGCCGTTCTGTTGCATCACAAAACTTTTCTTCTGAGGAACTCACCTGTTTACCAATGGCGTTAGTAAGTCATTCTGCACCATATTCCCTTTTGTGCGTCTATTTTTTCATGAGCTTGCTTTCTTCTGCTCCGTTGGCATAACCATTCCGATTGGAAGTGATAAGGATGAAGAAACACGGTGCTGTTAGTCCAGAGCGCACATGATGGATCCTAAATCTCGAAACTGAAAAGATACGCGCAAGGAAAGAGCTTTGGTGGATTTCACCTGTCAGCTTTCCTTGGAAGACAAATAATCACCTTTGGGGGTCGACTCTCAGTTTCAGTTTTTCTACAATCTGAACAAACTCTAGATACATATCAACAAAAAACGAAACACTTTTTCATTATGGCTCTCTAAAGAAACTGCAGTGGCAGCGCATCGCGTTTGACTAAAATTGTGCTACACTCAGTTTTCATTTATTATAATTAGTAGTAGTAGTAGCAACTGTATATTATTTTGCCTGTACCTGGGTCTGAACTATCAGAAAATCGTGTTACAAGCCTTCATGACAAATAAATCTATTCTTATTTGGTTGTCTGTGCCATATTCATGTTTTTTTCCACAACGCATTGACACCTAAGTTGTGAACCAATCTCGGAGTAGGTTACTGCAATGCTTCGGAACCGGCTGGTGTACATTTTCTCTGAACTCTTGCATTCATCGTTCTCTAGACCATTAGACCATGTTGAGGCTTCTCATTTGATGATATGTTTTACGAACAGTTGTGTACGTGATTTTAATTACTGCTCATTGAAGGTCATCCTATCAAGTTTCACATTCGTCAGCTGCATTTTGTTAAACTCCAAGCTCGCACATATTAAGATGACCATTTTTGATTACTGATTGTGTCTTCATACTTTTCAGTCACTTATTTTGCCCCGAGGACTTGGCAAACAAACGTCGTTTGGGAGCTCCGGAAAAAGCGCGATGTATTCGGTGTCATCAATGTGGACATCGTGTGGCCGACTGTCCACTCAAAGATCGCCGCCTTTCGCGTGCGGCGCATGTTGCAGCCTCAGATGATTTGGTGTCCACACTGATCGGTCCTTTTTTGTCCCAAGGTTCACATCCAGCCAAAGGAAGCTCTATCAAAACTACTGCGCGCTATTTTTCTGTTTATCCACCTCCAGCAGTCGGCCCTAATTTTGGTTTTCGTCCACCACCACCACACCCCGCGCAACATGTATTCGCCTTGCTCCCAACCCCATTCGTGTGTCCACCTCCTTCCGGTCGAATGGTTCCACAGCACATGTATGCTGGATTCGGACAGCCTCGGGCCCCATTCGCAATGAACCGTCATTCGGTTCCTCATCCATCGGTCCAATCCGAACCGGTAGGCCTTTCTTTCCCTCGCTCCGCGGCAGACTATCATCCCAATTACCTTCCCCGGCAACACTATCAATCGCATCCAAAGCCCCCGCGAGTTCCGAGTGGTCCACGTCCGCATATGTCCACCCGCCACCCATACCCGCCCCAGGATGCTCAACGCGAAAGATTTGCCCGACCGGAACATCCCGTTTGGACCGCGAATGAAAATGCCTACGAGCATCATTTCCCTCCGCCCAAGCATTTGGGCTCACAAACTGCACCGCCCACAACTGTAGTGCACCAACAACCTCAGTCGACACATTTTGTCAGTCCAGTCAAGCAATCCACTCCTAGTGAGTATAGACATATTGATGATGCATAATGTGATCTGTTGTTACCTTTTGTACTCCCCCCCCCCTACCCCGCACTGTTCGGCACCATTTCTCTCGTGTCAACAAGGAAGTTCTGAAATTCTGACTTTCTATTTCTTGGCTTGAGTTTGCCACTTCTATAGTATTAAAACAACATTACATTTCCTTCCCGTTTATTTCAGATAAAACTTCCGTTCAACCAACACACGCGAATCATCCGGGCTCTGTTTGTCCTACCTCGTCGCAGTCCAAACCCCCCGCCAATGTTGGTAATTCGATTGAGACTGTTGCGAATACGACCCAACCTGCGTCATCTGATTTGGCCTCGCCCCTTCCGGACTCAGGGAGCAAAAGAAATAGACGCCGAAATAAGCGTCATCCTTACAAGAACAACAACAACAATAGTGAAACCAACAACTGTGTCAATAATAGCGATAATCAGCCCCTCTCAAACAATCTTGACAGTGATACACACCCCAAGCATGTAAAGCAAGTAGTTCAGGGCCCCGTACGAGGTCGTTTCAACTGTTCCACACGACTGGGTACAACGGGGAGGACGGAGGCAGATCTGTCGAAACGTTTTCAGCACATGTCAACCGCAACTGGTGGTCCACGTTGATCCATATGTACTTTTTGTTGCTCCTCTCTCTCACTCTAACTACTCTTAAAATTTAGTCGAAAAGAATGAATTTATCAGGCCTACTTTGCGTGCCGTTTTGAGGGTGCGCACCCAATAGACCGTCTGTCCTGTTTCTTCCTCGTTTCCAATCACTCTGTTCATGAGGCTAGACTGTGTCTTGTTTCTCAACTTCCTCTCCCCCTGCGGAGGGTTTTTTTTGTCATGTTATAAATTGTAACCCAAAACTATTCGTTGATCGACTCTACTGTAATTTTATTTCCATACACATATGCGTATACATACATACATTCAAGCATTTTTACGCCTTGATGATTATCGCATTGTCACTCACCCTTTGTTGTTTTCTTTGTGTGTGTATGTTACCATCCATGACCACGTAGACAGCATGCATCATTTTCGTCCGCCTCCTTGCTGTATGATGCCTACCCCATTTCAGTAACCCTGTCGAACTAACAGAGACAAAATGAGTCATACACTCTCAGAGCCCCTGAAACGTACTCAGACAATTTGACTGTCCGATTGCTATTTGGTTAGTTGGTTCATCGTTCCTAGTGTGCTTGTATGTGTATGCCACAAAACCGCTGTTTGTTTCATGGTCGTGGTTACCGGAGCACGGCGCGACTAAAGTGCAGTTTTGCGAGCAAGTTTTCTATTTTGTTTCGATGATGAGTTCAACTAAATTGTCTTGCTCAGTTCACGAGTACATATTGTAGCACAGAACTTGATCTTCAGCGGGAATATAAAATGTCGGGTTCAATTCTAATTACGAATCACCTTTCAGTAAACAGACGATACGCTATTTTATTCGGTCAGGAAAAGCCGTTATGTGAACTGAGATATCTCTGGATTTCGACACTGCTGATCTCCTCGAGAGATCGAGTGTGCCAAAAGTACGTTTTCATCAGTTAACGAAGTTTAAAGTGGTGACGAACTGCAAAAGTGTATTGTTCAGGAAAGTACGTAACCAATTCCCTGAGAATTGATAGAAGCGCCACAGCACATGAAAGAAAGTAAACTTGGAGTTCGCTTGATTGTCATAAAAAGCGCACCACTGACACCGGTCTTCAACCATGTGCGCCAACCTGGCGAAAGTGTCCTACGATCACCCTTTAATGCTTGCCTTTTCCTCCTTCGATCCCCTGACATGGGTTGCCACTGCCTTCAGCTTTTGTAGACTTGCGGAAACAGTGTAGCTGTCTGAGACGAAAGTTCTGTGATGATTCCTGTCGTTACTGATTAACTTTTATCGCTGCATTCTGACATTACAACGATGAAAGTTAGTCAAGTCACGTCCTGAACACGAATGGATCAAATCTGGCAGTCCTAGAGCAAGACCGCACGTACAGTAGCATACCAAAAACACTGTCTTTCAAGGTAAAGCACCACAGACTACGCAAGTTGACGGAGGCTATTTGCAAATAGGAGTTCATGACCATACGTGTCCTTCTAAGTCCTAAGGTAGAAAAGGTAATCATGGGTGTGGCATATTCCTAAGGCTGCAACTTTATGGGATGGAAGGAATTAGAAACTATGAAACAGATATTTCTGGATTCTATAGGAAGTCTATCATGTTCAGAGGATTCACATAATATAACAAAAGGGCATCACGGAGCAGTTCCATGCCGGAACTACTTCAATTTTATACACTGGTTTGGGTACAGTATCAGAAATTTGCACTTTGGTTAACCAAATTGATAAATCCGATCACACGCCTCATTGTGGTCGGGGGTGGGTGTCTACGGTCGAGGTTGGCCACCCCTCCGTTGCACCTCTCAAAATGCCCCGATACAAGTAAGCGTTTCAAACAGCCTGTGTTGAGGAAGCCCTACTCACTACCTTCTCTTGACGGAAGTGTTTTACCAGTAAAATAAGAAGACGAAAAGCCAACATTCGGGGCTATAACGCGAACCCTGGCAGTTCACCCAGGGAGGTTGATTAAAGACACTGATCCCAAACCAACCAAGATGGGGCGCACAAACCACCCACCCACACCTTCCTGGTTGTTGCAGCGGTCACCGGCCTAATTGGGCATTGGGATGTGTTGCACACCTTGGATGTTCGACTCCGTCCAAGGGACGTATTATCCGACGAAGGCTTTGGTTGTGAACTCCCTAAGGAAATTCACCTGCTTTGGCCTAGGCAACCTAACAGTATCGCGCCCACGAGCAATCCTGGACCTGTCACAAGATATGCAGTTCTATTTTAGTGAGAATTTATATCGACAGGTTCATGGTATGACGGTGGGAAGCCCACTACGACCGGCGTTAGCTGATACCATCGAACTGTAGAAAAAACTGCGTCACTTCTGAATGTTTACGGCACATTTGTTGTGGTCGAAAAAAGAAATTATGAACAAACAACGTTTGAAACTTGGATTGGTTATCGCTCAAACACCAAATTCACCGTAGAACATGAAACGTAGACAATCCTTTGCTTACCGGAGGTGGAACTAACTTGAACGGGATAGTTTTCAGAATCTTCTGTCCGATATCCCATGAACCAACTCTAGTGAAAGGTTTATTTTCTGGGTAGAGAGCATTTATTCTGTACTAAAATCTGAAAGTGATCTTGAGGTGACATGCTGCACACTCTAGATCAGTGGATATCCATAGATAATTATGACAAAGTATAGCAATATGATAAAATCTAGGGATAGGACGTGCTAGAGATCAGAATGATAAAATAACGTGTCGTTTAGCACAAACCCTTTCAAAAGAATAGTACACCGCCCTGCTAACTGTTGTCCATAAAACCAGAATGACCAAGTCAGACCCTCAAGTTGGCTCTTCGCTTATTTATATTTCCCAATACGATTGCGGTAGGAAGCATATCGGAAGAACCAACGGGCGATTTTCCATAAGAAGATGATAAATTTAGTGCTGAATTGCTAGAAGATTCACTCCGATTACTGAACTGTAAAAGTTCATATCAACAAAACAAGCATTCCATGTGCTAAAACCAACAGAAGATCGGGCGCGTGTTGCGGCTTGCTGATGTCGTAGAAATTCTGTTACAAACCAGATCTCTATAAATAACTAGAACTTATGACTGATCGGGGTCTGCCACCACGTTTCCGATCAGTGTTATGGTACTCCCTTCCCACTATACGCTAAGTGACTGATGACCTTCGCATTGATTTTGCCTTATCGAGTGCTTGGTGTTTAAAGTCTTGTCATTGTTATTATTATTATTGTATTTCACACTTGTCTGAGACCAGATCAGACTGTCAAACAAATCATGGTACAATAGTCTTTATGAAAAAGAAAAATGTTCCATAATTGGCTTGTGGGCTGAATACCGCCAGGTTGCCCAGGCCAAGGTAGGTGAATTCACAACCGGAGCCTTCGACTAGACAAAGCCTGACCCGCAAGGCAGCGGGGCGAAAACCGCAGTCCATTGGGAGCCGGTGACCAGTTCGGACGGGGTCGAACGCCCAAGGTGCCCTATTGAGCCGGTGACCACTGCAACAACCGAAAAGCTGTGTATGTGGTTCGTACTCCTCCTCATGGTTGAGTTGGAATCAGGAATTTTAATCAACTCCCCTAGGTGAACCACCAGTGGTCCAGTGGATGTCGGCTATTCGTCCACTAACTTCGGTGCGAAAACACCTTCGCCACGAGAAGGCAGTGAGTAAGGCTTCCTCAGTAAAGGCTATTTGAGACGCTTGGTCGTCTGGGAGCATTTCGCGAGGTACAAGGGCAGGGTGACCAGCCGCGATCCTAGACACCCACCCCCGACCAGACTGAGGTTTTCGGAGGCCCTGTCATTGTTCTGATCGAACATTCACTCGAATAGTTGTACAGTGCGCGGCATAGGTGATAGACCTATGTTCAGTAACTGCCCACTCATAAGTGGTCAGTCCAGATACGGTTCCTCGTTGTTGCGCACACTTGAACGTTGTTTACCATCTATGAGCACATTTACGGCCTGTAGAACTTCCCGCCAAAAGGGTAAGATGATGGTTGTATAATGAATTCGTGCGAATGAAGCGTGAGCTGAAAAGTTTGGAGGCACTGGACAACTGCTTCAATCTTCCTGTGTCACATAAGTGTGAATCCATCGAACCAACTGGGGATCAAGCCCGGGACCTCATAGGTAGAATGCAAATTTACTACTCACTCGAACACCGGGCAGTGCAAACGGTCTTTACTGGC